CTGCGATCGGACGCTGAGGTTGCTTTGTTTCTTCTCGATAGGTGAGTAACACCGTGTCTACACTGGACACGACAGTTGTCACGCCGCGTCGCAACAGCTAAAGTCTGTCTAGTACACTGGACGCGACAAAGCGACCGTTGAAAATAATTTGAAATTTGTGTCAATACGTCATAAATAGAACGCAGCAGCAGTTTTCTGTCGGGGATTTGTCGTGTCGCGCTGCGCCGCATCCAGTGTAGACAGCATCACTGATTATAATGAGTTCTATAGTATTTTGTCGCGCCGCTCGTGTCTGGTGTAGACACGGTGTAACATTGGTTTTGCTTTGTTTCACAGGACTAATTGTTGCCTGGATTGCGTACGTATGTGCGGGGCGGAGCTATCAAAATAGGGGCGAGACCCTTTTGGGGTAGGAGCTTGTTTGTTTTGGTGATTTGAAATGTCAGCATTGGCTACCAGAAATCGCTTACCCCACCTTTAATTACTTTGTCATTTGAACCTAGAAACTGTCATTGGATGAGTTTTTAGGATTCAAATGAATTATTAATGCTATTTTCATATTAATAAAATAGTCTTTATATACAAATTGTCATGTGTTTAATCTCAACTTTTATTTTATTGATACAATATCAATATAAACATTGCAAAAAAACATTTCTTAGTATTTTTGTCTTGTTTTCCAGCAAAAATATGTAAATATTCTAAAAACAAGATATGTTTACTTGAGAAATAAAATTACTTAAGTCTTGTTTTCTGAAAAATGTGTAAAAACAAGAGAAAAAAAATTATTACCCCATTGCCAGACATCATTACTTGTTTTAAGCAAAAACTAAATTTTTATACTTTTTGTTGTTTAGATATTTGTACTGGAAAAACAAGAAAAATATGAGGAAAAATACTGAAAAACATTGAAGGACCTCTGTGACATTCTTTACGTAGGAAAAACAAGATTTATAAGAGACTTAATTTCATAGCTTTATCAAACAATACAATCACTCTCCTGAAAAACCCAATACAGTATATCAGTAGGTTGTGTTGTAAAATTTCTTAAATCATAGCTCAGCAGAAATTGTGTATTTAATGAGATTTCACAGCATTACTTTGTGGCAAGTGGGTTTTAAGGACAAAACATCAGTTTGTCTGATTTAATTGACATGGAATCACAAGACTCACTGGGTATTTTAGAGGAAGTGGCTTGTTCTTTTTCCCCTTGTGCAACCCTGTTTTCATGTACATCTGCTTGTAAATTAAGACCTTTCTCATCCTAAGAAGACAGATTTCTCCAGGCCATCTTCGACTTTGGTGTACTCCAGGTTGGATTTGTAGTATTGGCTTTCATAGTGTGCGCTGTTCTTCACATATTTCAAATATTCCGGAGCTCCGGGACAAATGACGTTGTCAGCCAGCAGGACAGTGCCTTTCCTGAGTAGACCACAGTCCTACAATGTTATAAAATAAATATGTTTGTAATTATAAATATGTTAGAATAACTTCTTGAGGGGTTAACATAATCAGTAGCATAATTTGGGCTGCTTACCTCGAGAAGTTTAGTATCTGGTACATAACGATCTTTCCAGTGGTCCAAAAACACAAAATCAAAGGATTTTATTCCAAATCGTTCCTTCATTTTGGGGATTAAATCACCAGAGGGTCCCTCCACTACTGTAACCTTTAAAAAACAGAACAAATAAATAAATAGATATTTAGTCCCAAGCAGAGTATGTGAGCGGAGCGGTGTGATTTTGAATGGAGCGAGGAGCAGATTTTAAAAAAGTTATTTAAAGGTTATTTGGGGTTGTTTTTTATTTATATATATATATATATGTATATACAGTCATGGCCAAAAGTTTTGGCAGTGACATAAATTTTGTGTTTTGCAAAGTTTGCTGCTTAAGCTGTTGTGGTGTTCATTCACATTGTTTCTAGTTTGTGTAGAGTGATCAGATGCATTTTAAATAATTGCTAAAAGCTTCATTGGCCAAAAAATGAACTTTTCACAAAAAAA